GACACCTAGAGGCCAGGAAGGGGTACTACACTCTGTAAAAGCATGACACCTAGAGGCCAGGAAGGAGTACTGCACCCAGCAAAAGCATGACACCTAGAGGCCAGGAAGGGGTACTACACTCACTAAGTCTGACACCTAGAGGCCAGGAAGGGGTACTACACTCAGCAAAAGCATGACACCTAGAGGCCAGGAAGGGGTACTACACTCACTAAGTCTGACACCTAGAGGCCAGGAAGGGGTACTACACTCACTAAGTCTGACACCTAGAGGCCAGGAAGGGGTACTACACTCACTAAGTCTGACACCTAAAGGCCAGGAAGGGGTACTATACCCAGCAAAAGCCTGACACCTAGAGGCCAGGAAGGGGTACTACACTCAGCAAAAGCATGACACCTAGAGGCCAGGAAGGGGTACTACACTCAGCAAAAGCATGACACCTAGAGGCCAGGAAGGGGTACTACACTCACTAAGTCTGACACCTAGAGGCATGGAAGGGGTACTGCACTCACTAAGTCTGACACCTAGAGGCCAGGAAGGGGTACTACAAGCAAAAGTCTGACACCTAGAGGCATGAAAGGGGTACTATACTCAGTAAAAGTCTGACACCTAGAGACCAGGAAGGGGTACTACACCCAGCAAAAGCATGACACCTAGAGGCCAGGAAGGGGTACTACACTCAGCAAAAGTCTGACACCTAGTGGCCAGGAAGGGGTACTACACTCACTAAGTCTGACACCTAGAGGCCAGGAAGGGGTACTACACTCAGCAAAAGCATGACACCTAGAGGCCAGGAAGGGGTACTACACCCAGCAAAAGCATGACACCTAGAGGCCAGGAAGGGGTACTACACTCAGCAAAAGCATGACACCTAGAGGCCAGGAAGGGGTACTACACTCAGCAAAAGCATGACACCTAGAGGCCAGGAAGGGGTACTACACTCAGTAAAAGCCTGACACCTAGAGGCCAGGAAGGGGTACTACACTCAGCAAAAGCATGACACCTAGAGGCCAGGAAGGGGTACTACACTCAGTAAAAGTCTGACACCTAAAGGCCAGGAAGGGGTACTACACCCAGCAAAAGCATGACACCTAGAGGCCAGGAAGGGGTACTACACCCAGCAAATGTCTGACACCTAGAGGCCAGGAAGGGGTACTGCACTCACTAAGTCTGACACCTAAAGGCATGGAAGGGGTACTACACCCAGCAAAAGCATGACACCTAGAGGCCAGGAAGGGGTACTACACCCAGCAAATGTCTGACACCTAGAGGCCAGGAAGGGGTACTGCACTCACTAAGTCTGACACCTAGAGGCCAGGAAGGGGTACTACAAGCAAAAGTCTGACACCTAGAGGCATGAAAGGGGTACTACACTCAGTAAAAGTCTGACACCTAGAGACCAGGAAGGGGTACTACACCCAGCAAAAGCATGACACCTAGAGGCCAGGAAAGGGTACTACACTCTGTAAAGGTCTGACACCTAGAGGCCAGGAAGAGGTACTACACCCAGCAAAAGCATGACACCTAGAGGCCAGGAAGGGGTACTACACTCACTAAGTCTGACACCTGGAGGCCAGGAAGAGGTACTACACCCAGCAAAAGCATGACACCTAGAGGCCAGGAAAGGGTACTACACTCTGTAAAGGTCTGACACCTAGAGGCCAGGAAGGGGTACTACACTCAGCAAAAGTCTGACACCTAGTGGCCAGGAAGGGGTACTACACTCACATATATTCTGTATTTGTATCATGTGTAATACTTGTCTGTTCTACCGACTTCATACAATGCCACAGTATAGAACAGCACTATAATAATAATAATTCATGACTGACTCTACCCACAGAGGATCAAACCCTCCCCCTCCACAGAGGATGGAACCCTTCCCGCTCCATCCACAGAGGATCCAACCCTTCCCGCTCCATCCACAGAGGATCCAACCCTTCCCGCTCCATCCACAGAAGATCCAACCCTCCCCAGTCCATCCACAGAGGATCCAACCCTTCCCCCTCCACCCCCAGAGAAACCAACCCTTTCCCGCCCCATCCACAGAGGATCCAACCCTTCCCGCTCCATCCACAGAGGATCCAACCCTTCCCGCTCCATCCACAGAGGATCCAACCCTTCTCGCTCCATCCACAGTGGATCCAACCCTCCCCTCTCCATCCACAGAGGATCCAACCCTTCCTGCTCCATCCACAGAGGATCCAACCCTTCCCGATCCATCCACAGAGGATCCAACCCTTCCCGCTCCATCCACAGATGATCCAACCCTTCCCGCACCATTCACAATTAATACAATGTTGTACCTTGTAAGACTTCCTCCGGTCCGTCCAATAGCCAGCCGTTCCCACCCAACCAGCGCGGCTTCGGCTGCACCAACCAATCCAGGACTGTAAAGAGACAACATGGGGGACACGGGGGAGGGGTGTGAATGGGGAATGACTCTCTGTGATCTCATGTGTGATGGTCAGCAGTGCCGGAGGATCTATACACAGAACATATCCTCCCCGATCACCAGAATCTCACATGTTACAATCATTTTCAATCCTTCTAAATCTGCAGCTGTCATTATAATAATCCCTTGTTCAGACACTTCCTGGTAGGGTGACAACGCTCTCTCCCTGTCTCCCAATCATGCTCCTGTGTTGTCACCATGTCACACGGGCTTCTGATGGAGACTACAAGTGCCTATTTTAACACACATTACACGGACACGGTCCGCTGTTGTCACCATCAGGAAACCTGCCGTGAGAAATGTCACGCAGCCGTCGCTGGCAGTGCATGTAGACAGGAAGTGGCTGCAAAGACGCTGCGGGAGATCAGCATCACTCAGCTGCTACAAAGAAGGAAAAATAACTATACAAAGTACAAATTGTTCTCTGATTGGATGCAAGTTGCCGGTTTCCTTTCATATGGCGCACCCCAGTATTGTCCCCACCCGCCCCCCC